ACACACACACACACACATGTCTCTCGCGCATAGAGCAGATATGCTTATTTTAGTCTGGTGAGTTCAATACATATAGACATGAATTTATCAGACACACACACGGCGACACTCACACACTGGGGGTCGGGAGAACTGAAATATATACACGAGCACACACACCCTGTCGCTGGGATGAGACACACACACACACACACACACACACACACACACACACACACACAGTAGATTACAATCTAAATATACACATGCACAAAGCTTATTCTCTCAGACGTAACGGTCTGTGGAGCAATAGCAAACAAAGGCGTGTGTGTGTGTGTGTGTGTGTGTGTTACACAGCTCCTGGAGGTGTTGATTGGGGGGGAAGGTGTGCACATAAGTGTTTTCATAGCAGTCCCTCCCACCGCCTGTCTGTCAGTCTCGCCTCCACTTTAATGTTACATCATTTATTTTTTTTTATTTTTTACCTCACCAAATAATAATAATGAGCATTTGTTCTGTATGCTAGAGACGTGTGTGTGTGTGTGTGTGATTCCTGAATGGACACTTGAAGTGTTAGCTAAAGGGCCCCGCACCCTAAAATATAGAAGGGCATTTCGCCACATACCTCGAGGTACGTCTGACCTTGTTTGGGCTTCAGCAGCAAACAGTTTCTTTATTGTTCGACACGTCCTTCAATGTGTCCTTTAGGAATCAGTTAATAAAGAAATGCGTGTTTACTGGAGAAAATCTCAGATGTGTCTTCAGTTCGTCTGCAGGCAACAATACGACGCGTAACATGAGCCCAGGATCTTAAATAACAACGACTAATGGCTTCATTCGACTTCCCTGTGATGTGGTGTTTTTGTGCGTCGTCGTCTCCCTGCAGTCGGCACGGCGCGCTGTCGGAAGTTCCTGATCTCGTGGGTCGGGGAGGACTGGGTCTTCCTCATCCTGCTGGGAATCCTCACGGCCCTGCTCAGCTGGGGGATGGACTTCTGCGTGGGCCTCTGTCTACAAGGTGAGGGGAGGGGGGGACCGATGGTTTGGAGCATGAGGAGGCGGCAAAGGCAGGTGACTTCAGAGGAGGAGGAGGAGGTATTGATGATATAAGATACAGGGAGAAAGTTGGAGAATTTCCTCTGAATGACCAACGTGATCTCCAAAACCTGTTGGTAAAAATGTATACAAAAATCTTCAACATACAAATTTGTAACAATACATAGAAACTGGCGGCGGTTAACCACGCCCCTTGAGTCAACAACATGGCGGACCCTGTTGGATTCTTGAGTGAACGTCTCACTTAGGGTTAGTATTGTATTCTTCTTCTCAAGTTAACATTGAGCTCTCATTTAAATGGATTCCTCAGGTTCTGTGTGTGTGTTCTGTGCGTTTTTGTGCTCTCAAGGAGGAACCAACCGAGTCCTGTCACTTCCAGTTATTTTAATTGGATACAGAACATGAGGAACCGCCTGTCCTGAGACACACACACACACACACATTGTGTCTTCAAACTGTTTATTCCACGGCTCCCCTGATTGTACATTAATGTGTGTGTGTGTGTGTGTGTGTGTGTGTGTGTGTGTGTGTCCACAGCACAGATGTGGATGTACGGCGGTCCGGACCGCAACGTGTTCCTGCAGTATCTGGTCTGGGTCACGTACCCCGTGGTCCTCATCATCTTCTCTGCCGGCTTCACACAGATCCTCGCCCCCCATGCTGTTGGTACGACAACACACACACACACACACACACACACACAGCCACAGTCCTGCACCTAATTGTGCCACCTTAAAAGCACAATTAGGAAAAAATGATTTAAGAACCGGGAGAAGAAACAAAAAGACACAACACAGAAGAAGACACATGAAGGCCTGAAGAAGGTCTGCTGCAGCCTGATTTTGAATTAATCCACTAGTTCATTACGAAAAAAACACTCCATGGTCAAAATTAGCTTGTCAATTTCTTTTGTTACCACCAGACGAGGTTCATCTCGCAGGGATAGTTGGACCCGTGCAACATCTGCAAAATATGCAACATCTGCAAAATCCCACAAAGGACACAAAACAATAAATGATCCAGTTTCTTTCTTTTTTTTAGTAGTTGATAGATTGTGTAGAACCAGGCTAGCTAAGCTAAGCTAAGCTACAGCTAAAGCTAAAGCAGTGAACTTACCTCCTCTGCAGGATCAGGGATTCCAGAGATGAAGACCATCCTGAGAGGAGTCGTGCTGAAGGAATACCTGACCTTCAAAACCTTCGTGGCCAAGGTCGTCAGCCTCACTTTCACTCTGGGCAGCAGAATGCCGCTGGGCAAAGAGGTAAAACACACGCACACACGCACACACACACCAGCTGACAACTCGATAGTCGATCAAGCTATGACTCATATACCAAGAGATGTTTGTTGAACTGAAATGACTCCTAAATGTTTTTCGTTTCCTGCCATTGCCAAACAGCAATGGCAGAGAGCCGGACCACGCAAAACAAATGGTGGATAGAGAAGGCACAGGAAATCCAGTCTTTCGCTGATAGATTTGACTGCATTGTAAAAGTTGTGCATATAATTTCTATCCACGGCCCAACAAATCACTGCATCACTCCCCTGAAAACTGCAGATGGGCTCAAAGATCAGCAGTGCACTGGAGAGGTGGGCTGAACATTTTGGCAACCTGCTTAATCAGGACTCTGAAACAGATCACACCATCCTGGAGCAAATGCCTCAACCTCAACCAACCCCCGACCTTCCTGGAGGTTCTGTTAGCCGTCTCCTGGCATCGATAATATTCCTGCAGCCTGAGTACAAGAGCGCTACGTCAACACATCCTTAAAGTATGGGCAGATGAAAACATCCCACAGCAATGTAGAGATGCCAAAATTGTCACCATCTACAAGACCAAAGGTTAGCAGACCATTTGTGGCAACCACGGGGGTATATCACTCCTTGCCACTGCTGGTAAGGTCCTGGCCAAGGTGTTGCTGCAGAGGCTTCTCAACAACATCACAGAGTCATTGCTCCCAGAATCACAGTCCGGTTAGGATGCCCTACTAAGATTGTGAACCTCCTCCGACAGTTTCATGATGGTATGAGTGCGAGGGTGACAATTAAAGAACAAGAGTTTGCCTCCTTCCCTGTGTGCTCAGGGGGTCAAGCAGGGGTGTTTACTAGCGCCGGTGCTCTTTAACATCTTCCTCCTATGCGTCACCCAGCTTCTCCTTAAGGCATTTGAGGACAACAGCGGGGTGACAGTAGTTTATGGGCTAGATGGCAACTCTTCAACATCAGGAGGTTGCAATCAACAACCAAGCTGCACAGAGTGAGGATCCTTGTGCTGCAGTCATGCAGACGTCTGCGCTCTTGTGGTTCACACTCCACACACGTATCTCTCCAGGCTGTCCCGGATGCAGCTGTAAAGGGCTACAGCAGGATGGGGCCGACCATCAACATCACCAAAACAGAGGTAGTCTGTCAGTGGAGCACATCCACTGTCTCCAGCGCATGCTGGGAATCACCTGGCGTGACCAAGTGCCGCATACTGAGATCCTCAGGAGAGCATGGAGGCCACCATCACCCATCACCAACTACGATGGCTGGGGCACGTTGTAAGGATGCCCCTCAATCGCCTGCTTCACACAGGTGCTGAGTGGGCAACTCGCCCAAGGCCAACGCTCTGCCGGAGGGCAGAAGAAGCTCTACAAAGACCAACTCAAAGCGGCGCTAAAAAAGTGCAAAATCAGGCCTGGGGACTTGGAGGGCTTCTGACCGTTACGCCGGGCGTCAGACGTGCCAAGAAGAAGGCAAAAAATAAAAATAACCCATGTTGCCAGTAGCACCACTATGATACACACATGTCCCACCTGCAACAAGACCCGTGGGTCCAGGATAGGACGATACAGTCGGCAGAGAACTCACCGCTGAAAGGCAGAAGTGGACGTCGTCATCGGCTTCGATGGACAACTGAAATCAAGCAAAGCGCGCATGCATGTGTGTGTGTGTGTGTACTCCAGAATGTTAATGCTTACTGCAGCCTCTGAGGTCGGTGGGTCACGTGCACACGTAGTCATGTGCACACGTAGTAAAAGAAACTTGTTCCCTCTCTCGTCCCATCAGAGTCCGTTCGTGCACATCGCCAGTCTGTGCGGCGCTATGATCAGCAAGTTCATGTCTCTGTTCGGAGGGATTGAGGAGGTGAGTCTTCTTCTTCTTCTTTCTATTAGTTTTAGACTCACGAAGCTCTCACAGCTTTAAGCTCAAAGAGCCCATTTAAATTAAGGACACCTGTCATTAATAAGGACGTGGCGCATTTTAAAGTCCTGGTTTGGGTCCTTCTTTCCCTTCATTGGAAAACACTGATTGTTGCAAACTGGCTTCTAAACCTCTTTTGGGACGCAAGTCAACAGAGTTGTTGTGCGTCACTTCCTGGGTCAGGATGAAGAGGAGCGAGGTGCAAAGAGGGGGAGAAGATGATGACAGCAGGAGAAAGAAGAACAGAGAGAATGAATTATGACGCGTGTGAAGTGAACGGCGGGCGAGTGCAGACCGACGCGTCTGCACTTCTTCACTCTGTTCGTCTTCATTTCAGAGCAGAGAGATCAAGAATCGAGCGTCACCGCCTCACACGAGGCTCGAGGTTTCTTCTTCTTTACGTCCGTTAATTCATTATTATTATAATTAATTCATCTCTTGTCAAGTCAACATCCGGTTCAACCTCATCTTATAGATTCTTTAGTCAGTGTGAACATTCTCTGCACTTAATATCTTTAGGGAGGAAAATATTTTAAAAAACACAGCAATGTGATGTCTTACACACACACACACACACATTAAGAATGAAGTAATAGACCAAAGGTTTAATAGAATCTAATGTTTAGCTCTTAGGCAGCATTAAAACACACACATACAACAAACTGTTTAAACACCTAAAAACAAGTATGTTAAGGCGTATGAGGCAGCGCCCACGTGTGTCTCCAAAAGACATGTCTCTCCCGTCTAGATGTCCACTACACTTACAACGCGTCCTGCCCCCCCATCGTCCCCCTCTTAATGATCTCCTGTAATCATTGTCGTCAGCTCCACAGTGCTGCATTGTGATGCATTGTGATGCATTGTGCTGCATTGTGCTGCATTGTGATGCATTGTGATGCATTGTGATGCATTGTGCTGCATTGTGCTGCATTGTGCTGCATTGTGATGCATTGTGGTGCATTGTGGTGCATTGTGATGCATTGTGGTGCATTGTGGTGCATTGTGGTGCATTGTGCTGCATTGTGATGCATTGTGATGCATTGTGATGCATTGTGTGATGCATTGTGATGCATTGTGATGCATTGTGATGCATTGTGATGCGGCCTGTGTGTCTCTCTGCTGTTTGAACGCTGATGTAACCTCGTCAGTAAAGTAAAAGCACTTAACTTGGTCTCTCACTCCCTCGCTTCCTGAAGGAGCCCAGTCTCGCTGGTATCAAGGTAACCCAAGCGCTTAGTTCCCAGCATGCCCGGCGGTCGATGTTGATGATGTCATGCTGCATCATGTTTAGTGTGGTGGAAATTGGCTTATTTGAGGAAATTGCACTTTCTTGTTTCTTGTTCTCCTGAGTTTGTACCCTATGGTTGAATGTCGCTTTGGATAAAAGCGTCCGCTAAATGACATGTAATGTAATGTAATGTTATGGTGTTCATGTGTCTGGACACGTTTTACCTTCTCCTCTAGAATTTAAAATGATTCGTTTGGATGTGAAGTTGTACAAACTTTGACAGGAAGACAATCAATGTAAAGTATTGAAATAGAACAAAAATGTTGATTATTTGCTTCTTACTTTGCTGCTGATATTTATCACAGCTTTTTTTTTTTTTAAATATACAGTATATTAGATTTTTTAATGAATCCAACTCAGTAGCTCAAAACTCTGTGGCTTATCCTGCTCTCACACACACACACACACACACACACACACACACACACACACACACACACACACACACACTCTTGTTTTTACTGGCATGCTGCTTGAAATAAGTCTCATAGGAATAAAGGTAGAGAAGTTGGGGGGGCTTCTGCATGAAACCTCTTCATCCACCACTTTTCTTTTTTTGTATTTTATCCTCGTTTTTGCTCCATCAGCTTTGTGGTTGTGCTTTATTTCTGAACGGTAACGAGTTTGTCATTATAGTTCTTTTATGATATTTCTTTTTTTTTTTTTTTAACAGTTACACATGTGCACTTTATTAATTGTGTAACAGCAACAGGTTACCTACACAATACTCTGAATACTGTAAATATGTTCACATGTATCACATTCACCGTGTGAGGAATACAGTATGAATATAACACACTCGGATATATCAATGTAACCTGCTGCGTTGTGTGATCCACCACGTGTGAGGTAATTAAAGGAGCCCAACGGGGTGAAGCGATGAAATGTAACTCGTGTGAACTCTTCCGTCCTCAGAACGAGTCGAGGAGCATCGAGATGCTGGCGGCGGCCAGCGCCGTGGGCGTGAGCTGCTGCTTCGCCTCCCCCATCGGAGGTGAGCGAAGCTCGTGTGACGCTTACAGCGAGCGTCAAAAATCTGTTTCATTGCCACGATAATTATTTGACGTTTTTAAATCCACCGTTTGTAAATTTGTTTTTCAAATATCTGCGTATTTCACACCACTACGTGTGTTATTAGTGCAGTGGACCCATGTTGTGTGTGTTCTTCATGGTGTTTAGTGTGTGGCGGTCTAACGTGTGGCGTTCGCTCCGTGTGTGTTGCAGGAGTGTTGTTCAGCATTGAAGTGACGGCCACGTTTTTCGCGGTGAGGAACTACTGGAGAGGTTTCTTTGCTGCTACCATCAGTGCCTTCATCTACAGAATGCTGGCCGTGTGGAACGGGGACGAAGGTACGGCCCAAAACTGTTTTATAGATTTAAAGAACCTTTTACATTCCACACTATAGAAGGTCGGTGACGCCGCTAAGACTCGGGTTACTCCCACGGCCGTGACTCAAACGTCTTTAAAGAAGAAATAACTCAGAGAATGTTACAGTCAAACGGATTATAAAGGGGCGGGAGAACGCGCTGATTGACAGGTCCCCCCCCCTCCTCAGTCCAGATACATGTTCTGTTCTGTCCTGGTCACTGGTTGCAAAAAGCCAAGATGGCGGCCTGCACACAACGGCGAACTCTGCGCTTCAAAGCGCCGGGCTGCGAACCAAAAGAGTGTCGTCATGACGACGACACACGTCCACCTCTCCTCCTCGGGGGTCTCTGGGTCTTACAGTGAGATGCTGAGATGACTGCAGCATGTTCTCCTTCCTCACCCTTTGTCGTCCTTCCCCAGAGACCCTCACGGCTCTTTATAAAACACACTTCCGGCTCGACTTCCCCTCTGACCTCCAGGAGCTTCCCGCCTTCGCCGTCCTCGGGTGAGCTTCCTTTTGATTTCACGGAAAAGTGCACGTGGAATATGAGCTTGGCGTGGAGCGCATGTCCTGTGCACATCCTCCCGTGGCATCTAACTTTTAACTGATTTTTAGGAGCAAAGGGGTGTGTGTGTGTGCTGCATCGGTGACTGTGTGTGTGGATTCCATCTTCTTCTGCAAATAGCTGTCAAGCGAGGAAAGTCGGTCAGTGTCTCAGCAAACTGGGCCAGTTTGCTCTGTGCTTCCTGCTGCAGAGGACGCGCTTTCTTCTACTGTTTACACCTGCGAAGCGCGAATGTATCATCATTTTAAAGATGTTTATGAAGCCTCATCTGCTCATAATTTGAGTATTCAACAAAGCAAGCGATGCCATCACCGTTAATTATATTCATTACTGTCATTATGTTGTATTTAAATGGGATCATACGCTCTGTGTTTGTGGTTTGCTTTAAGTAAGTCATATAAGTCACACCTTCACTTGCGCCCCCCCCCCCACGTCCCTCGAGAACCAGAATCTCGACTCTCGTTCTGGTCTAGAAACTCAAACGAGGATTCATCTTTCGAAGAATCCCAGCGTCGTGTCCATAATTTATTCAAAGGTATTCGAGGGAATTAATAATGCAGGAAGATAAATTTCTCCGCATTAGGTTGTCTGAGTCTGTTCTTTCCTCCTGGAGATGAAGAGGACTCCCACCGACAGCTCTTCCTCCCCTTCTTTGTTTGTTCTCCTTTCATGTCTTTCCTCCCTCGCTTCCTGTCCTTCCCACACGTTTCATAGACTTTCTCCTTTTACTCTCTGGGCCGTGGTTTGTTTAAGCCTGGACTCCTTTATTATTATTGACATTGTGTGTGTGTTCTCTACCTCTGCAGCATTGCCAGTGGCTTCATAGGGGCTTTGTTTGTCTACCTGAACCGGCTGATTGTCAAGTTCATCAGGAACCAGAAGGTCATCAACAGATTCCTCATGAAAAAGTAGGTCCAGCCAGCTGCACGGTTGATTACTGTATTTATGGGAGAAAACATCTCCATCAGTACGTAAAAGACTCACCGCTTTGTTACCTTGAATGTTTCTAGTTTGACTATGTGGCACTAAACCGGTTTGAATCCCACTCAAAGGACCACGGATACTTGAGTGTAGTTGGTCACGCATGGGAGCATCTGAAATGTCATGCGGCGTTCCCCAGGGAAACATTCTGGGGCCTCTTCTGTTCAACATCTACATGCCTCCAAAAACTTTCATTGCCTAAATAGTACGATTTTGGCAATATATACGCTGTCTTTATCAGATAAAAGTTGTATTCTAATTATCTTCCATCTGTCGACAGCCAATCCGCTATATCCAAGTTTGCATTGACTTGCATTATGGTGTGTTCAGGCGTTGCTTAGTAAAGCTTAGTGAAGCGGAGTGTTGGGCCGAAAGTAAACTATTACTCTATTGGGATGCATTCAAATGTCATCATGTAAAAATGTAGTTGAGAAATGTTTGTTGAGAAACGCGGGCAAACATGGATGTTTTCCCAGCAACCTAAAATAGAATATTGGCAGTCGGTGTCTCTGCAGCTGAATCTCCAGCGTTGTGGAGGTCCGGAAACAGATTTTTCGTAGTTTTAGTTCAATTCATTAAGACCGTTTTTCATTTCTGGATTCTTCCAGGGTTAAACTGGGTGAATAGTACATCTACTTTAAGTATAATTTTGCTTTGAGGTACTTTATTACTTCCTTACAACAACTTAACTTGCTAAAATTGTTGGATACCGTTGACTTCCTCTCCCTCAGGCGTCTGCTGTACCCGGTGCTCGTCACGCTGCTGATTTCCACACTAACGTTCCCACCCGGCTTCGGACAGTTCATGGCAGGCAAGGTAGGTTCTGCACGCCGCCTCGTTCCCTTAAAACGCGCTCCGCTGCCACGTGGAAGAACCCGAAAGGTCTGCAGAGAATGCAAACATCTCACATCTGGATTTATCTGATGTGTTTCCAATTTCACCCCCTTCATCAGTCAAGTTATCCGAATGTAAAAGAAAGGCACATTCTGTGCAGCTTCACACACACACACACACACACACACACACACACACACACACACACACACACACACAGCGTTGGTGATGAGTGGGTGAGTCAGGCTTCTGCCCTCTCCTCTTAAAACACTCAATTACGCGTCTTAAATCTCTGCGTCTGGCTCTTGGAGCCCTTGGCCGACATCGCCGTGACAACGGGTGACAGCTGCCCCCCCCTCCCTCCCCTCTGCTATCTTTCATCTCAAGCGACATCTTTCAGGACCTTCTCTTCTTCCTGAAGCATTTTTATTTCCATACCCGTACGCCACTTGTTGGAGTGAATGCACGTCAACGGGCAACAGAGAATTTGTATAGAAGCTTCCAGCCCAGAGGGGAGGACATGTTCTTCACTGAGCATGCAGGACTTGTGGAGGACCTTTGATTGACAGCAGGCCGTGAGTCATGTGACGTTCTGTCAACGTCCTATGTGGGTTTTGATCGATCGTCACTGACGGATTCAGCTGACAGATGTTAAAAATACATGAAAAAGTTCACCATTGAATCTATGCGAGAAGAAAGGAATAAAAGTACGGAGTTTATAACCAATATATGTGCCCCCCCCCCCTCCCCTCCAGTTTACCGCGGAGGAGTCTCTGTTCACTCTGCTGGACAACCGGACGTGGGGCAAGCAGGGCATCCCCGAGGACTACGACTACATCGGACACTCCAACCCCTGGTTGCACCCGCAGGTCAACGTCTTCGTCACCCTGGTCCTCTTCATCGTCATGAAGGTAGGAGTGGGCGAGGAGAAGGAGGGGTGAGCGAAGGTGTGTGTGTGTGTGTGTGTGTGTGGCCTTTATTCCTTTTATATAACAGTGATTTTATTTATTAACATAAATGTGCTTTTATACAAAAGAAACGGAGGTTGTCGATGTCGCGCTCACTGCATCAAGGGCTGGTTGTGTAGTGTGTGCGTGTGGTGTGAAGCACACAAAGAGCTCTGCACAAGTGTGAGTGGGTGCAGAACAGACGGCAGTGGGTTATATTGTACACTGTGTGAGCGCGCGTTCGACCTACAAATATATTTGTATCTGGTTTTAAATGTAACACTCAACGTTGAAGGTAATAACGTGCCGTGCACATAACATGCTATATTATTATTATCAAACCTGCAAACGTATTTGGCAACGTGGAGCATATATATATATATATATAGATAAATTATATATTGTGTGTGTGTGTTTGTGCCATCGGAGTTACAGCTGGTGGAATTGTAATTGGAGCGGGGTTAGAAGAAGGGCCCCCGAGGGCCCCCGAGGGGCCCAGATACTCCCCGAGGCAATAGACAGTCCTCCTGAATGCGACTCGCTGATGACCCGTGACTTAAATGCAGTGTAAATGTCCTGGATATCAATGTTCTGCGTCGTAACTGCGGCTTTACCCTTGACCCCGAGAATCCTTCCTCTCTCCTCCTCTTCCTCACCACTGTTTACCACACACACGCCTTCAGCATCAAACCACCTGTGCAGAATTGGGACAGAACTCTCATTTGGAAACTTGTTTCTAATCTCAGCCCGTTCATGCCGCTAACGTTAGCTTAGCCTCCTCGCTGCAGATCCTAAAAATCTGTAAAATCATTTGTTCATCATTGAAAATTCAATTTAAAAATGAATAATAATAATAAATAATTGCATTTGAAAAGCAATGAATAGCGAGGACGGTCCCGGGGATCCTGCGCCTGTTGTTGTAAACCGCGTTTGTTTAACAGGTGTCGACGGTATTAAGGAGGAAATATCACGCGTGTCCTTCGTTAAAATCTGATGAAACTCAAGAATCTCCCCCCCGGTTAATGAGTGCAGTATTGATCAATTATATGATAAATATGCAATTAATCCAGCCGCGCCGTTTCCGTTGGTTATCGGTTCGATGAAAGGCCGACGTTCGCCTGAGAGACGTTTCCTCCTCCAGCGTTCACGAGGACTCGCGCATTCAACTCGTCTCTTTGCGTGTCCGTCCCACACTGAGCACGGCGCGACACTCTGGACCTCCAGCCGGAGGTGGCGGTGTCCTCGGTGGCCATTAGTCTCCTTGGTAACCCGGAGCCCCCTGAAGGGGGACCCATCAGCAACTCCTCCATGCGATCACATGGGGGCGGTTGCCGTGGTTAAGTCTACTGTCCTGTAAGGACACCTGAGCCAACTTCCTGTCACACTGGTGTGTGTGTGTGTGTGTGTGTGTGTGTGTGTGTGTGTGTGTGTGTTCTCTCAGTGAGCACTGCATTCAGAGCTCGGATTAAAACATTTTTACGGCCACCCGCTGCTACGATCTACTGCCCTTTAACCCTTCAGCTGGTGTCACGGCATTAAACGGTCGTGCAGTGTGTTATTTCATATTTCATTGTGAGCCTCTGTAATAAAGTTAAAGCGTTGATGAGTCAGCGTCAGGATGTGAGTGTGTGTGTGTGTGTGAACACCTTCCTGTGTGCGTGTGTGCGTGAAAACGGCGGCGGTGCAAGGTTACAGACGGAGATCCATTACTTCACCATGGCAGCCGGCCTTAATTACAGCTAACTATAGACGAGGGGAGGGAGGGGGGAGGTTAACGGGGGGAGGGGGGAGGTTATTAACTGCAGGATTCGAGTATGATGAGACAATAAGTGGGTTTTATGGTGAGAAGGGACGTAGTTGTCTTCATCACCCACTAGTTTATGAGCCGAAGGATGAAGATGACCATATTCAGACTGTGTAGGAGGGATGTAGAGACCTGTCAATCAGCGTGTAGCCCCGCCCTAAAGCGTCCCCTACTACATGAGCCGTACCTTACTGAATGAACATCGTGCTGTATTGTAGAAGACTGCAAACTAGAGATTGAGATCATTTTCTCGTAGGCGTCTATGAGCACGGAGCAAAATGTAGCGTGTATGTAATAAAATGTCACTTTTTTCCTAAAGTATTTATTTACTCAGGATGGTGTGGTCAATGTCGGCCATTTGATACTCGCCATGAGCTTCCATCGCCTCGAACGCTGGTGCCCCCCCTCGGCTACCTGGCCGGCCTGTTGATCTTCACGCCGTGTGTTTGTCTTTGTCTTTGTTCCTCCTGTAGTTCTGGATGTCGGCTCTGGCCATCACCATGCCGGTGCCCTGCGGCGCCTTCATGCCGGTGTTTCTCCTCGGTAAGAACGCCGCTCGTTTCCCTTCACGTCGTCCTGTTTCTGTCTCCATCGACGCACAGCCTCATGGTTCCCGTTGTGGATTTGTGTGCTCACCAGGGGCGGCCTTCGGTCGCCTGGTCGGAGAGGGCATGGCAGCCTGGTTCCCAGATGGCATCAACACAAATGGCACCATCTACCCCATCGTGCCGGGCACCTACGCCGTCGTGGGTGAGTCGGACTTTCTCTCACCTTTTCCAGTACTTCTCTCATCTCTTTGCTTCTTTTTCCTAAAAGCCACCTTATCAGATTCTTTAATGTCGTTAAATTTGTAGGACCTGCACTAAAGCAGGTGTTTTACATTATTTTTATTACTTCTCAGGTTTCTGCTTGAACAGAATGCTTCACTTCTCCTCGTGGGAAGTGGAGATAAATACCCGAGGCTGTAAATGAGCCGCGATGAAAATGAATCTCCGGTTCCATGTGAAACATCGCCGGATGGGACTTTATTAATAAAAAATAATAACAAAGGAATTGACTGCACGCTGCCGAGGGCTCATGACCTACTCAAAAGTTTGGAAAATCTAACTTTTTATTCAAATCTCTCCCCAGAGAAATATGAACTGTACCACAGTAGTTGAGTTATGAAACAGCAGCAAAGTAACGTGCGTTTGTCTGCTGTGTTTGATATACACTCACACACAGGCTTAAGTTCCAAGAAAGACCAGACGTCGCCCTCCTCTCTTAATCTGAAGGCTTTCCTTCTGTTCGTTGGGCGGCACTCATCCGCTCCGTCGAGCTCCCGGCGCCGTCTCTCCGCTCTGATGTAGCTCGCGTGTTGCTCTTCATTGGACGGGGAACAACGGAAAATCGTTGGATTGGTGGAATTACTCGTATAAGTTTGAGGCTTATGACATAAACGCCTGGTCCAGGAGATTGATGACGGGAGGGTGACTTTGAAATCTTGATAACTAGATTAAATTGAGGGTGTGTACACTTTAAAAAATGTCACCGTAAATTAACGGTATTTTACAGGCAGCAAGGACGCCAGGAATTTTCCGTTATTTGATGGTGTAATACCGTAAATGGTTTTCACACTATGTTACCGTAAAATGGATTACTGTATGTTACCGTGAACTTGAACCAATTTTACCGTAAATTAACTGCAATTTACTGGCAGTCGACGCTAGTAACTTGCTGTTTTATTTACAGTGCCCTACCGTAATATACCGTATGTTGTCATATATTGGATTACAGTTTGTTACCATACGATTACTGTTTTTGTGATATAAATACCAAAATGTTACCGTTTACTTATAACCGTATACTCCTTAATTATGTCAAACCATGGGCGTTTTGGATAAAAGTGACAGCTGCATGTATAGTAATGTCCTGTAAGTCAAAGTCATCATCGTATCTCATGAGACACTATCTCATTATGATGACTTACAGGACCTGTTTTTCAGTGGCTGACGTGGGCTTCCATACATTAACCTACAAAAGACGTGATTCACTGCACTTGTGTGTGTATTTCCACCACTTCATAAAATATATGTGACATGCAGTTGAATAACGGTAGTCCCCATTTTGATGGATGACGGAAACCACCTCAAGGCCCCCCCGCCCCCCCTTTTATTTAGCAGCAGACACCACCTTGAAAAACCACCAATTTGAACAATTGCATCAGTGTTCTTTTTCTCACCTCCTCTAAAACAGGCGCGGCGGCCTTGTCGGGCGCCGCCACCCACACGGTCTCCCCGGCGGTCATCGTGTTCGAGCTGACCGGTCAGATGTCCCACATGCTGCCGGTGATGATCGCGGTGATCCTGGCCAACGCCGTGGCGCAGTCGCTGCAGCCGTCGCTCTACGACTCCCTCATCCGCATCAAGAAGCTGCCCTACCTGCCCGAGCTCGGTTGGGGGCGCCAGAAGTATGTACCAGGGGGGGGTGCACCTGTCAGTTTTCAAAATATTGACATCTAGATATGCTATGCTAGCTTTGCGTCACTCCATGTTAGCATGCTAACGTCATTAACACGTGTGTGTGCAAAACAAAACACCAAGTGAACAACGATCATAACTTGATCATTTATCATCAGAAATATCAAATTATCTTGACATAATACGTTTGGAAATGTTAGAATTGAACAATGATTGAAAAACTGTCAACTGGCGTAAAATGAATGTTGACACACACACACACACACACGCAGATAAATGTAATCTTCTTTAATCATCTAAGTTTAATAGACACACTGAACTTGAGTCACGGCGCAGAAAGATTTTACTTCTTCTTCCTCTCGTTCTCCATCACTGTGTGTGTGTTGTGTTACTGCAGCATATAAGAGCAGGGGAGGGTCTCCTGGTGGGTGGAGGGGGTTGGGGGGCAACTCAAGGTAGCGCCCCTCCTTCCACGCTGAATGTGATCTGGACTTGAACTAGAAATAATCCAACACACACAAGGACACTTGG